AAAAAAAAAAAACAAAAAGCTCCTACAAATGCAAAATAAAGACTCTCAACAGGAGAATAAGAACACAAAACGAAAAAACAAATCACTGAAAACACACAAAAAACACAGGTAAACAACTAATAAGTAGGTTAAAGTTCTCTCTTTGTGCGAAAATAACCCCGAATCTCCACCACTTGAGCCAACACCCAGCGCGATTAACTAAGAAGAAATCATCTGGTCCACGATCCAACACGCACAGGATCTCGAAACTCCCCACACGGCTAATTAGATCCGAACCAATGGACCGAATCCCTCACAACCGATCACCACAAGGTCAACTCCGGAAGACATGCATCACAACCCACCCCGCGCATAAGCTAGAAGCCGCAAGAATGTAGCACCGTCAGCGCTAAAGGGATCCACCATCCCAACCCCAGGGATAGGCCGGAACAAGGAGGACCAAGGCATCGACATCGACCCTTACCGCTGCAAGCGAACAATTGATGCTCACCACCTCAAAATTCTCGACGAACCTTCAGACCTTAATCCCCACAGTGGTTACCAAATAAGGAGACAACCCACGCAGGGAAGGAACTGTCGACCCTCCAGGAAGAAAAAGGTCAGCCTAGGAGTCGAACGATGTCGAGGTGGAGCAGATCTCTGACCGGACATGAAGCACAAAAAGATGCGCATATGAGGGCTTATTCTTTATTTGGGGAAAACACATGAGAGGGAAGAGAATAAGTTGGTTTTTGAGTCTTTACCCTCTTAATCATTTATTCATTGGTTGTTAGAGAAAAAAACTTCAACAATCCCAATTAAAACGTTGATGAGTTTATTTTCTTTTCGCGTGCGATAGATACCGATCTAAATTTACGAACTGCTTCCTCGAGAGATAGCCTTGAGATTAGGATTCATTCGTAACCGATAAAAATTAATTTGCTACAAGCTACAACATAGCTTTCTACTTTTTTTTTTTTTGCCTAATAAAACATATAAAAAAAATTAAATGTGAAACATATTTTGGTACGCAAAAGACCTCATACCGGTTGGAAACAGTCTGAACTCGAATTTTGTCGCTGGTAGATCGCTTGCGAACTTGCAAAAACTCTTACACATCAGAGGTTTTCCAGTGAAGGACCTCCAATGCTTAAATGAACACTTGTAGAAAATGAAATGCATAAAATAATCTATGGAATAATAGAGAATGTAATGTGATAATGAGCATACATCGCTCCCTTATATAAAAAGGTGATATCTTGTTGCCCAAGACTGCCTGGATGGGCTGCCCGATAATACAACACGAGCTGCCTAAACTGCCCAATTTTGTTATGCCACGTGGCCCTATCCACGTGTGACTCTTAACCCCTTAAGATCCCTTCGTATACCTTAGTTTTTTCTATTAGATTGCTTACTGATGCAACCAGTTCAATCCACTGAGGTAGAGCGTTGTCTGTTCTGAGACTAAGGGGTTGTTTGGTTTGAGGGATTTGGAGGGGAGGGGAGGGAGAATTTTAATTTTCACTTGTTTGGTTGCAAAATTAGGAGGGGAGGGAGAGGAAAATTTTAAGTAATTTTCCCTCCCCTCCCTCACTTTTTCTCCCCTCCAAAATTGGAGGGATTTGGAGGTGAAGTGATTTGTGATGATATAAAATTACCTTTTAGCCCCTACTTTCAATTGTTTTTAATTTTTTATTTTATTTCACTAAGGGTAAATTTGTCATTTTAGTTTTATTT